GCCGAGGGTCACCGAGGACCCTGGAGTTGGAGGAACAGGCAGCTTCCCTGTGCCTGGCGGCCCCCAGACGCCCATGCTCTGGCTCTGCTCAGGGAGTCTAGCTTGTATCTTTCCTGCTGCAGGGGACAGGAGGGTGGAGTCTGGGCTCCAGCGGTCAGAGGACCCGAAAGAGGACAAGCACTTCAAGCCTTGGGTGGGGGGGCAAGAGTGATGCAAAATTAATTAATTAAAAAACCCAGAAGGGTGGCTCCCCCCGCCCCGTCTCTCCTCCCTGGCAGCAGCAGGAATGGCGGGTGGACAAGTGGGAGGACTGCCCGGGAGAAGGAACAGGTTATGACGTGCAAAGGCTGCGCCCTCCCGCCCCCTCCCCCCAGGCAGCTGGCAGGGACCCGGCCAGGCGGCGGCAGGATGACCAGCACTTCCAGGGAAACTGTGAGCGCTAGGATTACTGGGAATTCTTCCGGCGCTGGACGAGACGGGGGAGAAAAAAAATCCTGGTCCCGGAGCCCCCTTGTGGCCACGCAGGGGCAGGACAGGCAGCTGGGGCTCCCACCGCCCCCGAGCGAGGGCTGGTGCAGGGGCGGCCGCCCCCAGTGCCCCACGTGCTCGCCGAGGCCCAGCCCCAGGGCGGCTGTGGGGGCACGCTGGAAGGGGAGACAGGCCGGCCCCATTGGGCTTCTCATCCGCCACGCACCGGCTGCCACGTCCTGAGCAAGCTTCCTCCCGCCCGGCCTCAGTTGCCCGGAGCTCGCCCGCCCGGGGCCCGCACCGCCCCCCAGGAACGCGGCAAGGACCTCGTGGCAACGCTCTCTGTGTGGACAACTTTGAATCGTTCCTATAAATTTGCTCTCACGTGCAGGCGCAGGGACCGGGCTCTGGCCGCCTGGGCACGGAGGGGGCATCAGGACCCATGCGCTCCGTGCTCCCTACACCCCACCACGCAAGGCTGGTGTTTGACCTCGCCGTCCCCGCGCTGTCTGGGACCTCCAAATCCCACGTCGGAGTGCATGGGTTTCAGTAAGGGCTCCATCCACTCTGGATTCCAGCGCCCCTCCCATGCCCCACCCCCAGAGGCTGCTGTAATGACCCAAGCACTCTGGCCCCTGACATCCCCCTCTGGGGGGGGAGACCCCACGGAGTGGTCCAGGCTCCTGAGTTTGACCTGGCCCAAGGGCCAGCGTTGCAGACCAACAAGTGGCAGAGGTGGCCTGGGGCCCCAGGCTGGGGGGTGGGAGCAGGGGGGTGGGGACAGGGAGGTCTAGGTATCCGCTTGGCCTTCTCACATACCAACTCTCCACTAGCCGACCCCAGGGTCTGGGGGAGACAGCCCCAGAGCGGCCCTGGGGCGAGAGTGCATGGCCACACACACACTCCCAGCTCCCCCTGGTTGTCGCCCGGAGATGAGGGAAGGCTTCAGCGAGTGGGGAGGGCGCAGGCCGGGCGGGGAGGGTCTCCAGCCCACCCTCCAACGTCAGCAGGGCCCTGAGGAGCCTCTGTGGACGCTCACTGAGAGGTCCGAGGGCAATGTGCCCAGGGGCTTGGAGGAGGAGGAGGGTTACAAGCCAAGAGCTGATCCTCGCCTTGCTCTCCACAGCTCGGGAAGTTCTTCCAGGCATCCGCCCTCAATCCCTCCTGCTGGAATGGGAGGGGTTTCTCCCTGGGGATTACTCTAGCTTTTCGCCTCCATTATAAACCAAACAAACACTTCTGAAACCCTGAAGAGGAAGGAGGGGCAGGAACAGGTGATGGATTGCAAGGCAGGGAGCGGACAGAACAGGGGACCCGAGGGTGGGGGACGACCCCTCTCCTCCCGATCCCAGACGCAGGATTCCCAACCACGGACCCCTTTGGAGGAGGACTGGGGACAGATGACAGATGTCCCAGGAGAGGGCCGTGACAACATCCTCTGAATGTATTCCAGGTTATCAGGAACGGGGGCCAGCAGGGAGGAGAGGCAGGGGACAGGAACAGGAAGGAAGAAGAGCCCGCAGAGAGAGGAGGAAGCCCTCCGTGGAGGTCAGGGGGCCTCGTGGGGATGAAGGAGCCCCCGGGGTCTACGTGAACGTGGCTGGGGCTGGCATCGAGAGGCCAGCACGGAGGCGGCGCCTGTACAGCGCAGGTTGGCAGGTGGCTGGGAGCAGTGGGGCCCTGGCTGCACCGGCCCCTGAATCCAGCCAGGTCTGTAGACCAGAGGGGCCCAGGAGTGTGAATTTTGTAGCACCCTGGGGTGACTCTGGCTATCCTGGCCGCATGCTGTCACTCTTCAGGGAATGGAGGGGCAAGGCGGTGTGACAGCATGGTCACCATCTGCAGGCTGGAGCCCGCACACAGAGGCGGAGCTGGGGGGGGGGTCTCCTTTCCTCAGCCCCAGTAGGACCCTCCTGGCCTTGCCTCTCTGTTCTGATTTTGCCGGGGCCACCCTCCCACTCCCCAGCCCATGACCAGCGCCCTGCGCTTTCTCTTACCAAGACCCAAGTGGAGCCCACGCATCCGATGCCCTCCCAGCACCTGGTGCCCGGGACGCACTCAGTGGGCGGCCAATCCTGCAGTGAGTGGCTCGGCCCTCCTGGTTCCTACCCAGCGGGCAGGGGAAGGCAAGTAGGGCTCCTGGCTCCTGTCCTCGCCAATCAGGGTCCTGCAGGGAGCTGGGGCTGGGGCACCTGGGCTCCCAGTTCTTCCCCAGCCACCCGGACCCCAGCTGTGGGGTGGTTGCCTTGGCAAGCAAGGTCTACGCATCCTCCAGGGGTACGCGAGGGGGCAGAGCCCTGGGGAGGCCAGGCTAGGACACGGTGCTCCACCCTGCCCCCCAGCCCGGGGCCAGGAGGAAGGCCAGCCAAGCGCCACCCCTGGATGTGTGGGGGCCTGGCTCCTGCAAGAAGATGCATGCCCCTGACCCGGGGCGGGGCGCCCTGCCTGCTCCAGGCCCTCTCAGACTGGGAGGTGTCCCTGTGTCAGCCCCAGGGGGTGCAGGTGCAGACGGGGCTGCAGGAAGGGAGAGTGGAACTGGTCCCGCAAACTGGTCCCTACTGGTCACACTCACAGCCGGCCAGCAGGAAGCAGGGGGTCTAGGGGCAGCCTGAGACGGACCGCGGCAGCGGGGGGGGGGGCACGAGCAGGGAAGAGGCGCCGAGAAAGGGAAGGTACCCCGCTCCCAGGTTTCCACGTCCCCTCGGTAGCTACTGGGCTCAGCACCACCAGCTTCACGGAGTCCCCAGCGCTCCCCCTCCCCGGCAGCAGGGCACTCATCTGGGAGCCAGGAATCTGGGTCCTCGTTCTGCAGGGACCACCAACAGGCCTTCATTTTCCAAGCTGTTAAAAATTGGGAGGCCAGGGGCTGGCGGCGCCAACATCCCCTATGAGCCCCAGGTCAAGTCCCTGCTGCTCCACTTCCGCTCAAGCTCCCTGCTGATGCACCTGGGAAAGCAGTAGATGACCCAAGTCCTTGGGCCCCTGCACCCACATGAGAGACCCAGAAGAAGCTCCTGGCTCCTGGCTTCAGATTGGCGCAGCTCAGGCCGTTGCAGCCATTTGGGGAGTGAACCAGTAGATGGAAGACCTCTCTCTCTCTCTTTCTCCCTCTCTCTCTCTCTCCCCTCCTGTCACTCTGCCTTTCAATTAAAAAAAAAAAAAAAAAAGTAAACCTCTTTTTAGAGTTTGGAAGGCAGGGGCCAGCGCTATGGCATAGCCAATAAAGCCGCCACCTGCAGTGCTGGCATCCCATATGTGCACCAGTTCAAGTCCCGGCTGTTCCACTTCTGATCCTGCTCTCTGCTGTGGCCTGGGAAAGCAGTAGAAAATGGCCCAGGTCCTTGGGCCCCTGCACCCACGTGGGAGACCCGGAAGAAGCTCCTGGCTCCTGGCTTTGGATTGGTGCAGCTCCAGCCATTGCAGCCATTTGAGGAGTGAACCAGCGGATGGAAGACCTCTCTCTCTCTCTCTCTCTCTACCTCTACCTCTACCTCTACCTCTACCTCTACCTCTACCTCTATCTCTACCTCTACCTCTGCCTCTCTGTAACTCTGCCTTTCAAATAAATAAATTAATATTTTTGAAAAAATTGGGAGGCCACAGGGAGGTCTTCAGGACCAAGGCCAAGTGCTTAGAGTTGGCCTAAGGCCGTGGGGTGGGGTGGAAAGAGTCACGGAGAACCAGACTCCTGGGGTCCTCCCACTTGACAGACGGGACACGGAGGAGGCTGGGAGAGCCTGCTGTTCAGGGCAGGAAAGAGATCTCGGCCCCAGTAGCCCTGGCACTGGACCAACTCACAGAGGTGCAGCGGCTCAGGCTCCCCCCCCCCCCGCCCGGGACTCCCGAGTGGGCGCGGGCACTTTAACAAACCCCAGGGGAGGCGAAGTTCAAGACCAGCAGGCCGCATGGGCCAACACGGAGCCCTCAGAACTCACACAGAACCTGGCTCCTCTGCCGTGAGCACCCACGGGTGTTGCCGGGGCGGGGTTGGCCCTGCTGTGAGGACTCAGGGTGCTTAGTGCACGGTACGTGCGGGACAGCCTGGCCGGCTGCCGCCTGTGTGAGCTCGGGCAAGGCCCCTGGCCAGTGTGTGCCTCCGTCCCCTGCTGTGTGGAATGAGGAGGCCTTAGGAGCTTGCGGAAGGGTCACGCGATGGAGCGATCTGACTCCACGAACGGCGGCCACGGAGCAATGACGGGAGCGCTTACTGACTGGTCCTCAAGAGCCCCAGTCTCAGACACCTGTATCCGGCTGGGCCGGGAGGAAGGGGCTGGGCAGAGACGGGGAGCCGGAGGCAGGGGCTGCGGGGAGGACCAGCAGGAGCCTGCCCTGGGGCCCGCGGCTCTGCCTGGCACGGTTCCCACACTGGCTTCACACTAAAGCCGCAGAACCCCAGCCGGCTGCGCAGCGCTGTGCCACACACCTGCTGTGCCAGCCTAGCCGAGCGGCTTGCCCTCTCTGGGCCTCAGCTCCCTCGGCTGAAGACCAGGGGAGAGGACCATGAGACAGTCTCTGTATGATGCCGATTTGGTGAGTCTGGTGCATTTTATTTAAAGATTTATTTATTTATTTGAAGGCAGAGTTACAGAGAGGCAGAGGCAGAGAAAGAGAGAGAGAGGTCTTCCATCCACTGGTTCACTCCCTAGATGGCCACAATGGGCAGAGCTGAGCTGATCCGAAGCCAGGAGCCAGGAGCTTCCTCCGGGTCTCCCACAGTGGTGCAGGGGCTCAAGGACGTGGCCATCTTCTACTGCTTTCCCAGGCCACAGCATAGAGCTGGAGTGGAAGTGGAGCAGCCGGGACTTGAATCGACTTCCATATGGGATGCTAGCCTTCAGGCTGCGACTTTACCCACTATGCCAGAGCGCTGGTCCTCTGGTGCATTCTAGAACACACAGCTTTGCTCCTGTACGTGGCACAACGTGAGTAACCACAGGGCAGGACCCTCGTTCCCACCTCCCCTCACACAGACACAGACACACACACACACACACACACACACACACACACACACACACACACACAGTCAGGAGCAGGCACCTGGAACACACCTGGCCTCGCCACACACAGCAGCTCTGCTCTCCCGCAGGCGCCAGGGCCAGGTGAGCCCGGGCACGCCCTCCCCGCGTCTCCCAGGCCGGGCGTCTGCTGCCCCCTGCTGGTCGCAGGCGGGATGGCCGCCGGCCTGGAGGGCGGGGGGATGTCCCGCCCGCCTCGGACGCCCCGCACCCGGCGGCTTCCTTCCGGGCCCCGCGAGGACGCGGGGGAAGCAGGCAGCCGCGGCTGGGCCCTGTGCAGGGGAGAGAAGCGGCCAGCGGCAGACACACGGACAGCGCTTAGAGCCGCAGAAGCCGAGGGCACTAAGCGCCGGGCACTGTCCCGCCTCGCCGCCCCTCGGCGACGGTGCAGGCGCGGGGCCCCCCCCCCCCGGTCCCGGGTTGCGGGGAGCGAGGCAGACAGGTCCTGCCGCCCCCCAGCCTGCGGCGGCCCTGGGAGCCGAGGCCGGGACACACGGACACGCATCCGGAACAGGGCCGAAGGCTCTAGAAGAAGGAGAGGAGGCGGAGAGCACGACAGGATGGCGGGGAGGCGGGAAGGGAGGGGGCGGGCTCCCCTTTGACCCCAGGGCCCCAAAGATGCTATCAGGCTCCAGACCCGCCGGAAAATCCTTCCCGGATCCGTCCACATTCCAGCCTCCGCCAGGCTGGTTTACAGCCCGGACACTGTTTATGGCCGCCCCATTCTCCGGCCCTTGTCTGCAGGCCCCCAGGGCATCTGGCCGGGCCAGAGGGGGGCTGGCGGGGGCAGGGGTCCCCCTCCCAGCTTCCCAGCCCCTCCTTTGAACCCTGCTGGGCGCCGGAAGGAGGGGGCCGGACGCCCGCCCCAGGGGACCCCCGGCCAGGCCCCTTCCTGAAAGGGGCCGCAGACCCCACCCCACCCCGAGCCCAGGCAGGGGCCACCTCACAGGGACCACGGACTCGCACCCCGGCCGACTCCCGGCTGCGTGACCTTGGCCACACGATTGAACCTTCCTTGGCCTCAGCGTGTCCGTCGGTGAAATTAAAATTATAGCTCATGAGCACTGTGGAGGATCTGACGTGTGACAGTGCCCAAATCGCTAGCTGTTGTCACAGAGCTGGGAGCAAAGGCCCAGAGATTTTTTTTTCACCCCGCTTGGTGGCCCTGGCATACACGTTGGCGAATTCTGTCCTCCAGACAGGCAGGCAGCCCCCCGGCTACCGGCTTCCTCAGGCCCACCTCTCACCCGGGCGACCCCGCCCCGGCTCTCTCACGCTCCGCGCCGGGCCGCCGCGGTTTGCGGGCGTGCTGCCCTCTGCCGGCAGTGGGCGGAACTGCGCCGCCCCTCCGCCGTCTGCGGCTTGGAGACCCGCGGCGGTGGGGGCCGAGCCGGCTCCACGTGTCTGAGAAAGGCGCAAGGGGACCCGGCAAAGAACCTTAGGCCACAGGGCCCTGGAGGGGAGGGCTCAGAGAGCCTGTGCGCTAGGAGCCGGGAGAGGCGTGCGTGCGGGATGCAGGGCCCGGGAGCCCCGGGCAGGGAGCTGGGAAGACACAGGCGCCCTCCTCTCCAGAGCTGTCCGGCCGGCCGGAAAGGGCGGAGGGGTCCGAGGGAGGCATGTCTGCGATGCACGGAAAAGGGGAGACAATGCTCCCACCAACCCAGCAGGGAGATGAGTTGTCTGCAGGCGAGATAAGGACTCCAGCCCGGCTGGCCTGGGTGCCCTGAGCCTGCTGAGATAACGCCCAGGACCTGCAGCGAAGGAGGGGGCGGGAGCCTGGCCCTTGCTCTTTCCCACCCTACCACTCCCCCCCTCACAGAGCCGGTGGAAGTCAGGCGAGAGCCCGAGCCCAGGCTGGGGGTGGGGGTCACGAGGTATGGCGGCTCCGCACCCCCCCCAGAGGTGGCATGACGCCAGGTCAGGAGACCCCAAGTCCGTTTTTAGGGACTTCAATGATGCTGGCTGGACCTTTCTCCAGAGCAAATGCCAAGGACTGCAGGGCCCCCGCCTCTGCACCCCCAGACCAGCCATTACCTGCTCCACTCCCCCCCACCGCCCACCGCCCACCGCCCACCACCTCACACACACCCCCTCCCCGCACCACCACCATCGCGGCCGCCAAGAATTCCAAACAAGAGCCTGGGCTCCAGGCCTGGCTTTAGTGTTTATCCCAGGTCGGGTTCTGTCCTGTCAGAAGCTGCCCCCGAAGCTGACCCCCTGCCCTGCCCCCAGAGCTCTGCCCAGGGGATACACTGAACAGGGACGCCCAGCGGACAGCCACCCCCCACACTCCGGGCTGGGCCCGCAGACAGGTGGGGGCCTGCGGCTCCGATCTCCCAGGGATCCCTGCGTTCACCTGCAGTCGGGGAGCGGCCACCTCCCCGAGCCCCCTGGGGTCCAGGCATTCGACCCAGTTCTGCCCCTTACCTTGCGCCCTCCTGGGTCGGGCCTGCACAGAGCATACCCAGGGCAGGAATAAACAAACAGTGCCTGGGAGAGGGACTGGCCAGTGAAACTGAGCTCACACAGGTCATAAACAGAGGAAGATCTACTGTAAATAAAGAGCGAAGCCTACCATGAACAGACAGTGACCCGGGCCTGGGCAGAGGGACCCCAGAGAGGCCCGGGCAAGGGGCACCATGCTCGCTCTCCTGACCGCGGGCCGGATGGCGATGAGACTCCCAGAGGGGCCTCGGGGTGTCAAACGCAGGTGGAATCTGTCACCTCTCCCCTCCCTCAGAGCCCAGGAGCCAGTGGACAGAGTCCCAGGGGCCAGCCCAAGACCTGAAGCCCACTCCACGTCCTGGAAGGTGGAGGGCAGGTAGCCTGGGGAAGACGGCCTGGGAGGGCATCGCCAGCCACCCTGGCCCGACACAGACGCGGGTCCCAGCCTGAACCCCCAGGTGAGGTGCCAGCGGCACACTGCCCCCTTCTCTCTGCCCCTTGCTCTGCCCCCTGTCCCGTGGCTCTGCCTCCCTTGTCTCTGCTGCTGTCTTCGCTGTCCCAAAGCATCAAGTTGCAAGGCAGCACCTGAGTGAGCCCCAGTCTCAGGGCAGGCATTTGGTGCAGAGGCTAAGTGTCCCCCTCGCGCCTCGGTGAGCCAGAGTTTAAGTCCAGCTCTGCTACAGGCCGGCTTCCTGCCCATGCACACCCCAGGAAGCAGCAGATGACGGTTCAAGTGGGGGTCCCTGCCCCCCACACGGGAGGCAGGCTGGATGGAGCTCCTCATGCCTTGGCTTCGGCCTGGCCCAGCCACAGCCACTGCGACCACCTGGGGAGTGAACCAGCAGATGGGAGAGCTATGTCTGTCTGTCTCTGCCTTCCAAAGAGATAAAAGTTAAATAGTAAATCTTGGCCACTTTGGAAACTCCTGTATGGCTCTCCTATCAAAGGACTGGTCCCCCTGAGGCTGGCTGTGGGCGGTGCCAGGGCACCTGCTCGTCTTCTGGCTCCCGTCCCCGCCCACCCTGGCTCACCTTCCCCTTCTCCTCTGTGTGCACCCCCCTCTGAGAGCAGACACTGAAATTGCAAAAGTGTCCAGCCAGGGAGACCCCACGCCGGTCCCAATCTGTAAGAGTGAGGCCCATGAACCTTCCGGAATCTTCCTAGCACGGGGAGACGGTGCAGACGCTGCCAGACCCCAGAGCCATGACCGGCTCCACCACCGCCCCCCACCACGTAATTTCTATTCATAGGGCACAGCTGGGTGATTAATGGCCTGATTAATAATTACTCAGGCTAATAAAATAATTAATTAATTTGGCAAGCCATTATTTATCTGTTCATCCTCAGCCTGAAACTCTGCACCTAGGAGTTTGGGAATCTCCCCTCCAGGCTCTCTCAGAAATGTGATCATTAATGTGGCGCGGGGGGGAGGGGGGGCGACTGGGGAGGGGGGAGGGGGCTTTCTGTCCTGAGCCCTCCCTAGGGAACAGAAGGGGCCTGAGGGCGCTCTGAGGACGCAGCCTGGAAGGAGGAGACAAAATAGCCAGGCAACTTCAAGCCCAGGGAGTGGGGGGAGTGGGATAGGAGCCTGGGAGTGGGGGGTTACATGGGGTTTGGGGGATCCTGGGATGTGTTCTCTCTGGCCATTGATTGATGACAGCATTTCCAACAAATGATCTTTATCTCACCTCTTGTCTTGCAAATTTATGATTTTGTCCCCAAGCCCCAGGCTAGAGGAGCAATGACTGGGTGAATTCTCGGGTGGGGGGTGGGCAGCCTTGAGAACCCGGTGGGGGGTTTTGGGGGCTCTGCAGGAAGGGAGAGACCGCCCCCCACCATCTGCGTCTGAGCCCCAGAGGAACGAAGCTTTGCATCGGACTTGGATTTGGGGCCCCAAAATCGAGAGGGTCTGGTGCATCCGGCTCCCGGGAGGCAGGGAGCTGACCGCAGGGGAGAGAGGGGACTCTCCGGAGGTGGGGGGCAGCGGCGCCCCCTCCTGGAGGGAGGAATGCGAGCACTGGCTGCCCAGCCGCTCCCTAAATAGGCAGAGGCACCCGTGCCACGTTCTTGGTCCAGGGGCCCTGACACCTGCTCCCCCCATCTGGAGCACAGGCGCCAGCTGCCCGGTCCCTGTTGGCTTCCAGGATGGGCCGGGATGGGTGAGAGCCAGGGGCGCACGGGTTCTAGCTGGGGGTGGGGGGAGCAAACCCTAAGAAGATACGCCCTGGCAGAACCACCATAAAAAGGGATGTGTGGGGGCCGGCGTTGTGGCACAGTGGGTTGAGCTGCCACTTGCAACATTGGCATCCCAAATCGGAGCGCCGGTTCAAGTCCCGTTTCCCACCCAGCTCCCTGCTAATGCACCTGGGAAAGCAGCCGAAGTGCTTGGGCCCCGGAACCCATGTGGGAGGTCTGGATGGAGTTCGTGGCTCCTGGCTTCAGCCTGGTCCAGCCGTGGCTATTGAAGGCTCTTGGGGAGTGAACCAGTGGATGGAAGATTCTCTCTCTCTCTTCTCTCCCCATGCCACTTGGCCTTTCAAGTAAGAAAAACCACAGTTTTTAAATCCCATCTTGTTGGGGGGAGCTGAGGCACAGGGTGGGCAGTGGAAATGTCTAACAGGGGACATCTGACCTGAGCCTCGGGCAATGATTTGTCAAGTGAAGGTCAAAAGCCCAGCACGCACCTGGAGACCCGTGAGGGAGGCAGGCCGGCAACTGAGATACGGGTGGCGTAGGCTTGGCCAAGGCATACTGGGTGGGATATTCTAAAGAGGAACCTGGACCTCTTCTTGTAGGCCACGGGGAGCTACAGCAGGTGAATGGAGGAGAGTGATACGCGATCCGCACTGATTCGTGTTTTAGAAGATGACAGAGCTAAGACGTTCCCTGGGGCACCCGCATCCCGTATTGGCGCGCTCTGGGTCTGAGTCCCAGCTCTGCTCCTGGTTCCAAACACTCCCTAGGAGGCAGCGGGTGATGGCTCAAGTCCTTGGCTCCCTGCCACCCTCATGGGAGCCCCGGATGGAATTCCTGGCTCCTGGCTTTAGCCTGACCCAACCTCAGCTGCTGATGGTATTTGGGAAGTGAAAAAGCACATGGGAAATTTCTGCATCTCTCTGCCTTTCAAAGAAAAAAATAGAAAAGAAAGATTAGAAGGCCGGAACGCACCCAGGCTGGGCGAGCTGGAAGGGCTGCCAGGCTGGGAGGAAGCGGTGGCCAGGGCGCCAGGAGCAGGCAGGTTGGATTGCAAGCTGCCCAGAGCTGCGTGCAAGGAGACCCAGAGCCTGAGCCTGCTGATTGCCCCCCTGCTCTCTGGCTGTCCAGTGTGGGTGCGGGGCTGGCCAGGAAAGCTGGTACTTTGATCCGCTCACACTTCTAAGAGGTGGGAGATTAGAGCCAGGCCTGGCTGGGGGTCGGCCGTCTGGGAGCCGTGGGAGTTCAGCAGGAGGGGGCGTGGCAAGAAGAACCAGGAAAGGCGAACAAACCCGCCCATTCGGCGGTGCCTGCCGGGGAGGGGCGGTGCGGCTGTGCCCGCTGTGGCCAGCAGAGGGCGCATGGGAAGCGGGCTGTACCCGGAGACGGTGCTGGCGCTGTGGCTGCGCGGGCCTGGGTGCCCTCTGCTGGGCAGGCCGCGACTCGGGGCTGCCCCAGAGGGGTCCCCACCCCCGGCCCGCGGGGCTGCACCCCGAACCCCGCTGGCCCTGGACAATCGGATCTTGGATCTGGAACATCCAGTCCTGGGGACCACCCGTCGCCACCCCAGCTTTTGCGCCTCAGGACCCCGCGCCCTCCCGAGCCTCGGGTGCACCTGCTATGCACCCCTACGCTGCGGGGTGTCCGCGAGGCTCCCTGCGGCTCGCCCTCGCCTAAGACAAAATGCGTCCTCTCTCTCCCCTCGCTTTGGGCGGCCCTTTCAGCAGCCCGAGTGAACGAGACAGCAGTGCAAGCCCATTTCACGGAGGAAGAAACGGAGGTTTCAGACCCAGGTCGCAGAACACAAGCTTCAGTCCTAACTGCCCGGCTAGCTCAGTCGGTAGAGCATGGGACTCTTAATCCCAGGGTCGTGGGTTCGAGCCCCACGTTGGGCGGTGTAGAGTTTGTTTTTCCATGACCAACTTTATAGCTGCCAGGTGCCCAGGTGACCCTGCTGTGTTTCTGACCAAGAGGAGGTCGCCCATGGAAACTGGGACCCCAGCCAGCTGCCGAGTGGGGGCTTTCCAGGGGCGGCCCTGAGCGCACCCCAGGGAGGGGTGGCATGGGCAAGTCGGCAGCCCGGGGCTCGGGCCTGGCTAACCTTCGACTGCATCCCCCCCTCCATGGGTGGCAGCTCGTTTTCAGCCTGGGAGAGACATCGTGGCCCCCTCAGGTCTGAGTCCCACAGGGAAGTCCCTCCTGGTGTCTGCCCACCGTTCCTCCTGCTGCAGCCTCAGCGGAACCCACAAGTTCTGTCCTCAGAGGAGGCAATGGGATGGGGGGGAGGCTGGGCTTGACTTTCATGGTCTGAGCTGAACGACTTTCTTCCGCAGAGCCGAACCCCCAGCCCCCTTTCCACGCTCACACCCGGTCTCCCCGGGTCAGAGGAGGCCTCTTTCCTTTCTCCCGCCGTTGTTGGCCAGGGTAGTTCAGAGGGGCGCTCTGCTCGCCTGCAACCCCAGCCCCAGTGCC